GTAAGGGGAAGGTCCAGGCTGAGTAGAACCACAGCATTTCTCCCAGTATGTAGCCAAAGAAGGCAGCTTACATTACAGAACCCTACACAAATCAACCTGGAGCTTTATATCAGTCAGTTCTCAAGGTACATGCATGTATGTTTCTGTCTCTGTCTAGACCATCTACTCACCACAGACAGTTAAACAAGCAATCTTGTCTTTTCTCTGTGTGTATTTTGTTGTCATTGTTATTACTGTGGTTCACCCTTAAGATTTTCCTATTCAGAATAGTTTAGCTATGAAGATATTTGAGAATCTACTGAGATAGAACTTCTCACTGAAAGTAAGTAGTTTTACCATTCCTAATATAAAGTGAACTTTGGAGGCCTTAAGCTATCTAGCTGTGGGCTTGAAGAAGAAGTTCATGTCTATTATGGGTGTAATATGGTTGAGATATGGTAGGCTCCTTGAATTTAACGGGTAGTAATTTTTGTCTTCTAGAAAAGTCAGGTAGCAGCCCCTCCAACCCACTCCACTGAAAAAGTACATAAAAAAGAGGAGAGTAAAGATGCGAAGGCACTGTTTCTTTCCAGAGTTTAAAGGGGGATTGAGCAAAGATGGATTGTGTTTATTTGTGATCTTCCCTTTTCTAGAACGAGGTCAATAATGACCAAGACAACTACCTGAAATATTAAAAAATGGTTTTGTTTGACTTTTCTTTATTAATATCGCTTGTTAAAATCACCACCAGAGTGGGAACCTGATAAAATGAACAAACTCTGAATTTTTCTATTAACTCAAATCTTATTTTAATCATGATGAGATTGGAGTTTGGGTGGAATTTATCGCTTCCAAATTGGAGTGGAAACTTAATATGTTCATTATCAAAGTGGAAGGTCAAGGTTTCAATATGGCTGATGGGTAGATATCTGAATCCTGCTCCCAAACTGCAGGAGGACTCCCTGTGTCCTATCCTACTGGGACTTGGCCGGAGGCACAGTTATCTTTAGGAGTAGCAGTGTTTTTCTGTTTTTGTATTGTTTCAACATCGTAGCCACAAAACTATTATTCAAATTTTCACTCTCAACCCTAATTACAAGTCTTTTACATCACGTACAATTATACCTTTTTCAAACCTCACTGGTGAAATGAATTTAAAATGTTGCCATATGTTTACTCAAAATTTGTGGGGAAACCAAGCGTACTGGAATTACTAGGATTTGTTCTGTCTGTAAATGATGAGAAAATAACATGTGATATTATTAGTCTTACATGGAATATTATTTTGACAGTGTTTGACTTGAAAAGGGAGACATACTGGCACTAGGACTTGTAGGTGTTAGTCACTGGACTGACTTGGCAGCCGGAGACAGAAGGGATTATAGCATGTGACACCTTGCTGGGAGCAGTGGCTGCTGCATTGGCAGACTCCAAATTAGTCAGGTCTGTCACCTACCCTGATGTGGGTAGATTCTGCCCTTTTATGCCAGTTTTTCTGCCATCAGTTTGAAATTAGTGGCTCCATTCTTTTTCAAATATGAATTCATTATGTTAATCCCAAAAGAAAGAGAGCTTGCTTTCAAATACAGATACTGGTATTTATTTATTTAACTGATTGATAGTTGTTTTAAAAGTGTATAGAAATGTATTTAGAAATCTAAATTCTGTAATAATTGAAACTCGTTAAAATTACATGTGGGGGCTTTGAGTCTTCATGTAAAATGGTGAAAACTATTACATAAAAAAAGACATGACTTTTTTCTAAAATATTAATCACCATCAGAAAAGGTATTTTTTTCCCACTATGAATGATGACAGGAATTTGATTTTACTGAAATTGTAGGAAAAACATAATAGGAAATGATGTGTGTGAAGACATTACTTTGAGAAATGAGAAACAAGTGTAAGTGGTGAGAAAAGAGAAGTAGTAATGGAGGGGGGAGTTAAAAAAAGAAAATTAAAAAAAAAATCCTAAGGCAAAAGATCTTCAGGGGGTGGGATTCTCCATGAAGTGTAAGCTTCAGTCCCTTTTTGGAATTGTTGCTGATAACGTTGGATCATCAGGAAATTTGACAAGCTGAGGGACAACTTGAAAAATGAAATTGGATAAGATTACAAATGATATTATATAATCCAGTTACAAAGCTTGCCTCACAAAGCCAGGTTTCTTTTCGTACATCATGAGAGTCATTGGTCCTTAATTCATCGTATCTATGCGTGTTCCTGCACAGACGAGGTGTGAAGTACTGTACCTGACCATCATCTTCAGATGTCCTGTTGTGCTTTGAAATGTTGATCTCTCAGGATGAGTCTGCCTCAGAAGAATAGTGCCGGGGCAAATGTCCTTTGTCAAGTACCATTTAATATGTCATTTTAAGTGTCCATTTTAAAAATGACATAAAATAGTTGGTCCCCAGATTAATATCTGACAGCTAGCTATTTAATAATGCTTTAATTGTTTAAAGCTGATGGGCTAATTGAATAAGTAAAAGTAGGAAGATGGTAAATTATTGAAATTAATGACTAAATTATCATAGGTCTATGTAGTGGCTGTTTCTTCAAAGTTCATGTTCTGTGATTTTATTGTTATTTTTGTAATTTTCTCATGAGTGCTAATTTACAAAGCTCAGATAAAATACTTTTGTCGATATTTTTACTATAAGGTTTTTAGCGTGTAAAACTAACTTGCCCGTAGCAGATATATATGAGGCGAAAGAAAAAGCTTCCCCTGATAGTTTAGACTTCTCGACCTTGTACTATGTACACTAATGCTGCTGATTCAGTTCAGAGGGAACACACTTATTGTCTTCTAGTGGTGGAACCAGCAACGATAAATAATGCTTAGTCTGAATGGTCTTCTTTGGACCAACTATGTGTTTACTAAAGTTTATCTTGGGATTCAGGATATAATATATTGCCCTGACTTAGATTTGCCTGGGGAAGACAATGGCAATTTGTAGCAATAAAAATAACTCTAAGAACAGGAGCTCACATTCAGTGAGGTTATAATAGAACTTAACAGTCTACATGCTTTGCCTCTACCTTGTCTGTGGGCTGCCCCACGACAGCTTCTCTTAGTGGTGATTGCATATCTAAAATACCATCTTATTTGAGTAAAATATTAAATAATCTAGATTTGCTTTTTCTTTTAGTATGCTAAAACTGGGTACATCTCTTCATGTAGTTTAAAACGTACAACAAAATCGAGTAGAAAGTACTGAGAGTTCTCATATACTCCTTGCCCAGCCCTCTGCGGCCACCCAAGCCTTCCCTACTGTGAACATCTCTCACCATAGGGGTACATTTATTACAATTGGTAAGCCTAGATTGACACATCATTATTACCCAAAGCCCATAGTTTACATTAGGGTTCACACTTGCTGTTACAAATATCTTTTTAAAGATGTGGTCTTGCCTATGGCCGTGCCACCCTAAACGTGTCTGATCTTGTCTGACCTCAGAAGCCAAGCAGGGTCAGGCCTGGTTAGTACTTGGATGGGAGACCACCTAGGAAGGTGCCGTAGGCGTTAAAAAAATAAAGATGTGGTCTTCCAGTATTATTGAGTATCAAGGGTTCAAGGTTTGTCCAGGGCCACCAATGCCAGTAAGTAGGTTCTGCATAAATAACTGAGTAAATGACTGATTACAGGTTCTTGACAGAACACATGCAAAATGTTTTTTTTTTTCTGTTCAGGTTGTATACCAAAAACCAAAATTGAAGACAGAGTGATACTAAAATAAATAACAATGATAGAGGAAGCTTATGTTCTTTGAATATTCTACCTGAATGGTCATTGATGTAGAGGGAAATAATTCTGTTTATTTCTGGTCATACTGAGGGATGGAGAAGAGTTTGTTTAAATTAACACTTGTACTTACAGTATATAAAATGGTCATATATTAATTTAATAAGGATTTTAATTTTAATTATCTGATAAAATGGGTTATTTGGTTCATTATTTTTTACATATCTTTTCCCATCTTTCACAATTAGAAAAATATAAGACTAAATCTACTTATTATTTAATTAACAAGTAACATCTTCTAAATATGTTCATGTCTTTTTACTCTGCAATTCCATTTTTCATATTTCATTATAGGGAGATAATTCTAAAGAAATATTTATTAAAAGCTCATTTAGACTAAACCCCTTGCCCCATATGAGACAGAGGATTAGTCTCTCTCTCTATATTTCCCCCACTGAGGAACTTGAATGACATTCAGTAAATTTATTGATTTGCTACTTTTTATCAGGCCTTCATTAGGACAAGAGGTTTGGATGATAATGAATGATGGCTGCTTGATCTTGAATCTTCCCACTCACACTCCTCCAAAAGTCATAAGTCCAACAGAGAGAGAGCAAATAAAAGCACACATGACTCACACCTTCAAGAGAATTAGGAGACAGCAGTAAGCCTCTGGTTGCAGAGAGCGGCACAGGGGAAGCTTAAAAAAAGTTTAAGAGACTGTGAAAAAAGTAGAGGGGCATGTAGGACTTAGAAAGCATGGAGAAAAATTACTCTCGAAAGAGAACGCTGGGACTTCATTAGTTCACAGCACTGACTACATGAAAGGAGATCAAAAGTGAATGAGACTGAAACTGGCAGCCCCCGGCAAACATTACTTCCAGGAGAGATTCACATATACAGGGAAAGGATATGGTACCCCTTGAAGACATGACAGTGAAAGTAAAGAAGGAAAGAAAAGGGAGAAATTAAGCATAAAAGGGTAGTAAAACAATCCGTAACAAATTGAAAAGAACTGAAATCATACCAAGTATGTTCTCTGACCGTAATGGAACCCAAATGAAGATCAATAAAAAATAACAGGTGATCTAATTGGGCAGAGGACCTTCATCTAAATGAAAAACTAGTTCCTCTGCCCTTGATTCTGAATTGTTATTGGCTTGGAAAATGGGAAAATAGATATATTTGATCTGATAACGTGCCCAAATGGGAATGAAACATATCAATTGACTGTTACCCATGATAAATTACTTCTTTGTCCACTTTATTTTACAGCTTCTCTGTTAAAAGGACTCAAACATGCTAACATAGTGTTGCTTCACGACATCATCCACACGAAGGAGACGCTGACGCTTGTGTTTGAATATGTGGTAAGCTGAGGATTCAGATTTTATAAGTATGAATAAAAATTTTAAAGTATTATGATAGAGTTTCATAATAATACTTTTAGGATGCTCTGCTGAAGTATTTTATCTGAGTACACGAGACTTTGCATAATTTTGAATAATAGGTATCTTAAAGAAAAGTCCAGAAAAATGTTAAGTTGAATCTTCATCAGATATATTATCTATTTATAACCTATTTGTTACTATGATACACTTATTTTTAGATTTATAAAATAGGATTAAACAGCATGATGGTGATCAGTCTATTAAGGAACTACCAATAAAAATAAAATTGACAATAAAAATGTTTTTTTCTTTGGACTTGCAACTTGGTTTCCTAAAGGCATCCTTAAGGATGTTTTCTTCTGGAGAAAAGCCCGATACTTACAATTTAGACTTCATAGTTTTTCCCCTCAGTTGATGTTTCAGCTATTAATTAAAACTTTGAATTTGCATAGCACACATGTAATGATCTTATTGTGTTGAGAGTACAACTGCTAGAAGACTTGGACTTGAACTCATAATTAATCTTTCTCCGTTTCTCTTAGAAAAACATATGGTATTTGTGTACCACCACTTCAGCATTTAACTGTGGAATCATGAAATGTAACCATGATAATTAACATCCTAATTTTCACAGATGGATCTGAGAACATGTAATTTATAAGATACAGATGACATTGGTGGAGACTTTTATTGAGAAGAATAGCTTTTGGTATTGTGCATGTATTAAGACCCCATTTGTAATTACCACAGTACTTTTTTGAAAATTCGAAATAGTTTTCATTTTTCCTTTAAAAATATATGATAGAATGAATATTTGCAACATTTTTATCTTGCTAATATCTGCCTGTGTCTGTTTGTCATTTGAAAAATTGTTGTCTTATGAAGAAGCCATTCATCTTGTCTATTTACATATAAATGATAGATACATTTGAATAATATGGTAATGTGGCTAGAAGGACCGCTAGAGCCGAGCAGTTGAATATATTACATGCTACCAAGAATGGATGCTGATTCACACATCAATGCAAATATAATTTCTTTTGTTTAATCGATGATTTTTGGAGTCAATAATGATTTAGACTTGGCATTTTTGTTTCATGTTTTCCAGTATGTCTAGTTGCAATGTTTCAATTAAATCTAGATTTTTTTTTTTAGTATACTTGACTAACTTTATAATATTTTGTAGAAAAGAGTTTTCAAAAATATACTTGTTCCCTTTCCCAAAATCGTAAAATTAAATTAAAAGGAAGGAAAATCATTTGGTCCCTAAAATCTCTAACATCGATAGAGAAACTAACAAAAATGATGTGTGTCCTTCAAATCTTAAAAGAAAATTAAACATTTGTGAGTCTAAAAATGTGCATAATAGATGTCATTTGATGGTTTTATGGTCTGTGGAACTTGCCACATATAAGGAAAGAAATTTCCTGTCTTGCAGTATTTGCTAACTGTTTAAGACTGACTTTTAAGCAGTCATTTTTTTTGCATGTGTGTGAGTGAAATTTCTTTGGTCCCAGTTCTTGTGGATACGTCCCAGGCCCTCTTAAATCAACTACATAAGAGCGAGCACATATGCAGTATCTACAGGCAACACTTCATTCCTAACTTCTCTGAGACAGTTAAGACATAGATTAACCTATTTTCTTTTAGAGATTAAAACAAGTTTGTGATATTCTTTGCTTCTGGTTGCCCTTCCTGGCCTCTTCAGTTCTCCATTTCACTTTTATTTCCTTACTTTCCCATTGTCTTTTGGCCTTTCTCCTTTCCATCTTTCTTTTTTATTCTTTTCATCTCCTATCCTTTTGTTCTCTCCAGTGAGGCACTTTTTGTTATGACAACTGAAGTTTGCTTTTATTTTATTTTATTTATTTATTTGTATTTTTTTAATTTTAATTTTTTTCAGGTGAGGCAACTCTTGGTTTACCTCACAGATTGCAAGGACCTTGTCAGTTTACAACCCCTTATTATTTTTTATTTTTTACACCTACAGCACCTGGTTTTCTTAGGTGGTCTCCCATCCAAGTACTAACCAGGCCCGACCCTGCTTAGCTTCCGAGATCAGACGGGATCCGGCTTGTTCAGGGTGGTGTGACCGTAGACGGTTTTTGTTTATTTTAATTAAATTGTTTCAATGAATCCCTGAAATCAGAGTCGGGGAGTGGGGCTGGTAGAGAACATCTCCAGGCTATAGAAATATCTGACAAGTGTCTTACCAGTTAGAATAGGGAAGGTGTAGACTCCTTGGCAGCATTAGCTTGAATTGCTGCAGTTGCCTAATACAAAAATAACTTCTCTGAATATTTTCTAAAATTTTATTTTGGTACATTGCTTCTTCATTCCTTGTTTTTCATATATATGCTGTTTTCTCAAATAAAATTAAGGTTCTTACATACTTAATGGATTAGTTTAATCATATTGCTTTCCTCACAGAATCTCACAGAAATAAATTCTACTTATTTCTTGCATATTTTAGAGCAGTGGAAAGGCAAGAGTAATTTCAAAGCATGAAATGAATGCCTTGGGAATTAGAGCAGATCTAGGGGAGGAACATAGGGTAGGAAACAGGAGGGTAACGTGGGCTTGGAATGGTGGGTAAGGGCTCAGAAAGGGATGTGAAAGAATTTTTAAGACAAGTATGACTACAATACTAAAAACCAACAACTAAAATTTATTGAGTTTAATGCCAGGCACTGTGCTGTGGGCTTTACATTCATTATCACTTTTGATGTTCTCAACAGCCTTACATATTACCACTTTACAAAGGAGAAACCTAAGGATTAAAGAGATTAAGTGCTTTTCCAGGGTCTTGGAGCATGTAAGATAAACTCAGACTGGTCTTACTCTGAATCCTAATTGCAATATTCTATCTCTTGTTTATTTTTACACCTTTACTTAGGTTGAGCCTTTGGTCAGAGAAGGAAAGGAAATTTTCTTCTTTCCACTACCCTCTTTGCACAATCTACTGCACTGAAGATCCTGCGTGTAGTCAATCCTACATACAGTTACTGCTTTACAGCTTAAATACATTTTATAGACTGGTCAAAAAGCTAGCTGTTTAAAATTTTATTTTAATTATGAAGTGTTCTAAGTTTCCACAAAGCAAACTTAAAAGTTACAGTATTGTTCCATGTATTTTATTGGGATCTGCTTAATCATACGCATGCACATGCAGAGAACCTTATTATTTAACAAGCCCTAAAATCAATATCGAACATTTAAATCTACAGTTTCCTAAACTTAACGATGGTATTGCCTGATTTAAAAATTGTTAATATCAAAGTTATTTTCTAAAAAAATGTTGATTTGTAGATTCATGTAATTAATAGTACCTTTTTTTAAGGGAGGGGAATGAGAAAGTGTAGGAAAAAGCAATACATCATGCCCATTGAAACCTAGATATGAAGGGAAAGTAAAATAATTTAAGATTCATTAGGTACTATTGGATTTTTCCTTTGGATTAGAATTAATTAAATGTTCAAGAGTTTTTAGAAATACCGATGTAATTTGAGTTCCACAAAGTAAAAGATTCTTATTTATGATAGTTTACACACCATATAATACATTTCTGTTCTTTGCTTTAAAAGAGAACAGAAAGAAATCTAACTATGGGCGGTGAACACACAATGCAATATATATATGCCTTAGCGCTGAGAAAAAAATAAATAAATCAAAGAGAATTCTAAGCCTAGCTGCATTATTATTCCCCACAAATGACATTTTAGGTTACATGAAAGCCTTCTGAGGGCCAGAATTATGAATGTGTGAAAGAATATTTGAGGAAATGACTTTGAAAGTTATTATGAAAGTGATTCAGTGGATAATAGGATACTGTAAATATATCTTAAGTACTGTGAAGAGCTCCTAAAACATCTGAAATATAGATTCTTATACACTTTCAAAGAGTATAGATAGAACGACCTGCAAACTGCAAGGTTGGGAACACGTGTCCTGCCCAGGCTGCTCCTGTCTCAGCCATGCATGACATGGGTCTTGTGGTGTGCGCTCCTTGGAGGTCTACTTTCCTCCAGTTGTGGGAAAATGCCAAGGAGCATTGTCAACCAGGGAGTGGCTCCATTAGCTTGAAAAGGTGTTTGGTTTTATAACGGTTTAAAATATTGTTATAAGTATCCTTTTTTTTTTTTTTCCCCCTATATGGATTTGAGACTTAGAAGAGAAATGCAGAAAATAGTAAAAGTGCTAACACATTTTTTTCTACTGAAACAGAAAGTTAAGCAATTTAGTTTTTCTTTTTTTGCCACAGAAAAATAAGTGCCACATTACCCCATTTCACACCATGCTGAAAAATTTGAAACAGGTATCATATGTGGAAATAAGAATATTAATAGTAAACATGATTATGTAAATATATATTACCGTTAGCTAAAATGCATAACTATTCTGTTCTGTTTTAAATTAAATGAGAGCAATATGTAGCAGCACTTTTCATTACACATTTAATAATTATGTACAAGAAGAAAAGCAACAGACTTATAGCTAATCATGATATTCACTGGAGCAATCATTTTATTTCTTCTACTGAGGTAGAAATTAGTGATATATTCCAAACTAATGCGCAACATTATGTAAAACAAAAATCTGTATTCCACATTAAAAAAAACAAAATAAAAAACTGTCACCAAAAATCATATAAAGTGATTTATGGGTTACCAGAGATCACATAGTGTATTTTTATCGTGCTTTACATTCTACAAAGCACTCTGATAAATATTCCACTAGATTCCCTCTGTAGCCCTTTGAGGTATATAAGGCATGTAATATTGTTATCCAGTTTTTTTATTGATGTGGAAAAATAATGCTTAGAGAATTTAAAGCAGATTTACTAAAATTACTCAGATAAGTTAAAAAGGTAAAGATAAGACTTTAGCTCAGGTCTTCTGTACCTAAAGATCCTTGTTATTCCATTGTACCCTGCAGCCTGCCGGTGTTAACCATCTTCATAGTTTGATATGATGGTCTGA